GTATCAAGACCCGGTTACTAGCGTTGTAAGTCCGCAGAAATACCGCTGTGTCACTGGGGGGCCTATACAGGAGTAATTAACATTATGCTAAATTAATTTTATTATCATAAGAAATAGTTCTTTGTTTATAAGGGGATAAGAGTCCACTGTACTTTGATTGAGAAAGATTCTATTATATCACTAGTACTTTAATGTTTTATTTACACTAAGTATAAAATAGTAATTAAAAATATTAATGAAAACTGCGAACTTTATCCGATATGAATTTCCTTCACAGACACATACAGCTAAATAAGTAAAATGTCATTATAAACGTTACTATAAAATAATTAAATGGATTTTCTAGCGTACCCTTTTTAATATTTTATAATAATCAGTGTAACGTTTGTTTAAAATTAAGCACAAAGCTACACAATGGGCTATCTGTGCTCTGCCCACCACGGATATCGAAACCCGGTTTCTAGTGTTGTAAGTTCGCATACATACCACTGTGCCACTGGGTAGCACGGTGTAATGTGACAGCCATCCTAATATTACTTGTATGATTTTGCTTATGTATCGCCCCAACAGAAAATAAATACCAGAAGTTCTCTAGTTTTCCATATTATTAACAGTAATGGCACCAAAGTCGAAATTATCTAGTTTACCACCATTAATACATTTACAAAATAATATCAAACCTACTGTGTGTGTGTATTTACGCCGTTGCAGAGACATTTTATAGTGACTTGTTTGTTTGGAATATTGGCGCAAAGCTACACAAGTGTTATCTGTTTTATTTGTCTCAAATATTGAACTGAATGACTAGAGAGAAGGCACTCTAATCAAATAGTGGAATTTGACCGTTACTCTTATAACGCAATCATAGCCTCTAAAGAACGGTGACAGATAGCTTTAGGAGTTTTGCCTTAAATACAAAACTTTCCCATTTCGGGAAAAAAACTGCACCAAACTCGACAGTTTAATGGCAGCAGTAAGTAGGCCTAGGTTTTGTCACGAAACGTGTAAGAACCGAGTAATTTGTTTTTCATTCCATTTTTTTACTTAATTTTTCGTTTTTATTCAAGTTTAAGAAATACGTAAAATATGCTCAGTATAAAAAATATACATCACTTTCTCCATGAAAACACTTAGTTTCAACAAAATATTTAATATACACGTCATAGTTCATGTAGCGCATACACAGATAAAAACTATTGCGAAAATGAAAAAAAAAAAAACACGAAAGATGGCAATTTTTCACTTTTCACGGAATTTCAAAAATACACTTACGTTGATTTCCTATGAAACCAAGCTAAAATATATTCCATCGCGTATTTTTTGTCACAAATGTACATTTGTTAACCTTCGACTAACTGCTGCAGCAATCGTCGATAAATTTAATTTGTAATCCTTTTCTCATTATTTCTATTTGGAATATACATACATGTAATTCTATTTAATATGTATATGAGGCAATTTATATCATCAAATACTGTGTATACGTTTTCTGCCACCGCAAGATGTGTTTTCACTTTCTTGTTTATTTTAAGCCTGATTAATTGGTTTCATTTCTCAACGCTTCTGTGTTTTTTTTGTAATGTGTAAACCCACCGAAATGTATAATGCAAACACTCAACCTTTTCTCCACTAACGGTTTTTGGTTTAAATACTGATCTCATATTTTACAACTATGTCTTTTCAATTTTTTTCGTGTTGTCTTGTACTATTTTTTCTTGATATCATTTTGTAAGATTACTCTCTCTATATATATAACTTGCCACTATTTTAAACTAACAGGTGTTGTAAGTGGTATGTACACAGCGTGGTCACAAGTAAATAGACACCACCTTTTCAGAAAAAAATGAAATTTTTCAATCATATTCACATGAATTGATATATTTATAATTTAATTAATATCTAGCTGATCTTTCGCAAAATTTATGTTGCCAACACACTCCACTAAGTTCGATCTCCCACCAACCCAAACAGCTCCCCAAACCATCACGCTCCATCATGCTTCACAGTTGGCTGCAAACTGTTGAGCCAAAACTCTTGGTGAGGCATTC